CTCATGCAATTTACTTTGCCCACTTTGCTTTTTGCCATGCTTTGCATACTCTTTTCGCCGTTGACATTTGCCACGCTCCGCCATTCATTCTTCTGCCCGAATTCATCAAAACAGCGTGGCAAAGCGAACACAACAACAAAACATGAAAAATGCGAATGCGCGTGCGAACGTAGGAAATGTGTGATGAATTGGCATGCGGAAGTAGTAGGCAATGAAGGCGAAAGCAATGAGGACAACGCAGCAGTGAGCGAAGCAGCAGCAGTCAAGTGACGAGTTATAGTCGAACAAAGTAACGAATTTCAGTAGCTCATTCACTTGCAGAGCAACGAGTTGTGTCTACGAAGCCTTTGTGCTCAATACACTTATATACACATACAAATATATGGAAAGTGTTAATCTGAGCTTTCCGCTGAGGTTTGGTAAATATTTTCGTTGACTTACTTAGGCTGGTTCATTTATTCGGCACACGAGACGCACAGTGGTACATTTGTGATATTGAAAGAAATTTTATATTGAATTTTGCGGTATTCTTTGAATTTCTTAATTTTAGTTAGTATTTCAATTTTTGGGTTTCCACGACCCCTAAAAGGCTAAAAATATATATCTTACTCACCACCAAAGCTATGTCGACCAATTTTGCTTAAAACAAGTCATTATAGCTTTTTCTCATATGATGTGAGAATAGGTGAAATCAGTTGATAACCACGCCCTCATAAGTGCAGTCAAATTTTCCACCGTTAGACTAACTCTGAGTGTGGTTTTCAGCTTTTCCCTTATACTTGAAAACCGAGTACGACTTTCTATCAACTGTATACAAATCGGACAGTATGGATTAAAGTCATGATGATGCTTCTAAAGCATCCGTGGTCACTGACTATTTGAGTCAGGTGAAAAGCCAGGTAATCTTGCTGTCTATCTATCCACAAATGTATGTCCTGAATCAGTGTGTGGGTTCACTGTCCTTTACATGAAGTTTGCCACCATTACTAGCCTTTTGTGATGCTTTTCATTCTCTCCTCCATCGTCACTATACTGACCGATACTCAGCCTACCTGCCAGATAACGTTTATGTTAAAAACTATATAAACATGCAGAAGTATTGAAATTCACACCCACCATGGTACAGCAGGGTTTATTGTGAGTCGTGATTCCTTTCATTATCAAAATTTTCTTATATTCGTCGGGTAAAGGATTTATTCTTCTTTATTTATTTTTATTTTTATTTTTTGCATTGTTTTTTTACTTCTCATTTCTTTATATTTATGTATATATTTTTTTCTATTTCTTTTCCTTTCTTTTGCATTTTATTCCACCTTTTACTTCCTTTTTTAATCTTTTACAATTTTCGTTACACATTCCTCTTTCCATATATATCTCTATCCCTTTTCTCCTATTTATCTAAAAGTACAGTTTTTCTTTTGGGTACTACAAGTGTATGCTCCGGTCTTGAAATCTTCTGTTAGTCGCCGCATGATTTCATAGATTTTCGAGCATTACCCTGTCGGCAGCTTCTCAAGCTCTACATACGTATTTCGACCACTTTCTTATTTGTCTACATATGCGCCTGTACGTAAAGAGCTTAAAATGACGTCCCAAAATTCCCTTATACCGTGTTCGTGATGATTTCTCTCAGAGAGCAGGAGTGCAAGTTGAGTTGAAAATCGGTCGGCTGTCGGTATTGATAGTAACTTTTTGACGTCATACCTTCCCTGTATTAAGGTGCATGATTTGCTGTACAGAGGCAGGTTCGTATCTTCGCTACAWCAAGATAGTAGACCTGGTCGGTGGTCCTCGGAGCGTACGTTCACATGATCGATCTGGTTATGAACTTTCTCTCTTTCTTTCGATCTGCCTCAATCCATTTGGAGAGGTTTCGCCATGTAGGYTGAATTTTCCGAGATGACTTCTTTGTCCATCTTAGCGTTGAAATTGCCAATCACAATTTTTACATAGTGGAGGGGACAGTTGTACAAGCGCGCTCCAGTCGCGAGGGGCAAATCAGTGTTATGTTGAAAAGTTTTGCTGTTTTGCGGACTGTGGCTACACGCTCATCTACCGGAGTGGATGCCAGGACTCAACGACTGAGTATCTCTTCCACCACGAATCCCACCCCGAATTTGTGCTCCTTTATATCGCCGCTGTAGTAAATATCACAAAGGCCTACTCGTCTCCGTCCTTGTCCCGTCCATCGCATTTGTTGGATGACCCTGACGAGGTCCGCAGTATGATTTTTACTTTCCTAAAGCAAACCAAATAGTACCACAAAGAACTTTAGTTAATCGTAAACATTCAAACAGTAAAAATAAATGACGTTAACTTTAGAGCATCCACAAGTTCCCGTGGTTTCTAGATTTCAAACATTGAAAGAGGTCATGAAATTATTCTGTTTAGAGCTCACGAAGTCTTTTGAATTACAGCAGCAAGGTTTCGTCTAGCGACAAAGTTCAGCGAATATTCTCATGCCATCCAGACAGGCTCTTCAGCCTAATTCTTCATAAATTAAAATCTTCACAAAGTAAAATCGAAATATTCTGAGAAAACGATGTCCTTAATTCCACCTAGCCAAAGTGGCCCTTTGTTATTTATACCATCATGTTCGACAATCTTAAGTGTGACAGTCTTAAGTGTTCCAATACTTCAAGTAATCCTTAAAAGCGTTGAATTATCTTGAGCTTACGACAATTACTACCCATCATAGTTTATTAAAAATATTAGGTTGTCAAAAAAGTCTTGCGGTTTTTGTATTGAATTTTCAATTGTTCATAAAATTTTCTTTGACGACTCATGCCCAGCTCTTGACCGATGCTCCGGCTGCTACTATGATGGTCTCTTTCGACCAATTCAGCGATTTTATCGCAATTTTCGACGACAGGCCTTCCGGAGCGTGGCGCTTCTTCGACCACCTCTACACCAGAACGAAAACGTTGAAACCATCGATGTGCGGTGGAAATGGAAACGCTATCGGGTCCATAAACTGCACAAATTTTATTGGCAGCTTGAGATGCATTTTTGCCTTTATCGTAGTAGTACTGTAAAATACGCCGTTAGTTCTCTTTATTTTACTCCATGTTTGCGACATTATAACTCGCGAACGACTTAAAAGAAACGACAATCAATCAAACACGTGTTAGCGCGTGAAATKAGCTTTCCAAAAAGGTATAGCATTACCCGATGCAATGAAGAAAACTTGAACCACGCAAGACTTTTTTGACAACCTATTTACCATCATGTTCAAACTCTTAAGTCTTCCYTTGGAGTCCGTACTTCAAGTAAACCTTAAAGTAGCTGAATTATCTTGAGTTTACCGGTATTACTAACCATCCTAGTTTATTCAAAATATATATATTTAAGTTTCAAATTATAACCAGATATTAACAGATTTCAAATCAGGTGCTCACAAATTACTCGAAGTCGCAGTATCTCTCCTCCAGTCTTCAAATATTGTTAACAACTCATTAGCCGGTTATTTCAAACCACAAAATTTTGAAAGCTATACCATGACCTCCCTCATTCAACGTTAAAAATACCAAACCTATGACATACACCAACCACTGTGCATCGGCAATTGTCGTGCCGTCGTGTTTGCCTCATTATGTTCGGCAATTTCACTCGTCGCTKGCTTACTCGCTCGTGCGCTCGCACAGCGCGCACACAGGCACTCAGCCAACTAATATCATTCACAGTTACACAGGCATCGAGTGCAAAACGTCGTCGCTAATACAAAAAACGCAAAGTGGTCGAGTACTACATTTGGCGAAATGTTAAAAATCAATATGAGCGCAACGTTTTCGTAGAAAAGCTAGCAATTCGTGCAATTAAACGCAAAAAATATATAAAATGTTTGCAAAATTATAAGCGAACGCAAGCGTGACTAATGCATTTATGGTGGCAACGATTAAGAAAAATAGCGAAGCACCAGTCCATGTTGGTGCCACCAAAGTCAGCTGAAAACGTAAACCGCAGCAGCAGAAAAGCAACAACAACGGCGGCAGCGGAGGTGGCAAGAAAAGTGCAAAAATCTAGCTGAAATCTAACTTTGTGAAAAATAAAACGGTAACGCGTTACCCTCACGGTTAACAGTATTTTTTCCACATTTCTATACTATACAGACGAGCGTGTGTCACTTCGCGTGCCTTAACGGTACTACGCGACGGCGACGATAGTGCGTGAGTGTGAAAGTCAAGCGAGCGAAAAGGAAAAAAAATAACCGAATAATAATGTATGCCACAACGCGAAAGTGGCACGAAAGAGTTTTACGCTGCAGCAATTAATAAGGGTAAAAAAATATATACAAATTAATATGCTACTTCGATTTTCACTTTCGTTTGTTTAGCAGTAAACAGCAAGCGAACCTTCGATTTTTGTACTAATTACGAGCTGAGCCATAAGCGCTTCGGCCGCCGAGCGGCGCTACCCCTCGGCGCTTGTAGCAATCGAATAAAACCCAAAAATTAATAACAATAATAAACCAAAAACAACCAAACGCACAAGTCAAAGGCCGTCCTTCTAGCAGCGCCAGAATTTCCGCTWAACAACGCGTCGCCCAACTGCTCCGCTAGCGCTGCCCTCCTGATTGCCACTGCCGGTGGACGACGCGCCGTTATTGTCGCGTTATGCCGTGCAGTTAATAGTCGGCACACAACCGCTACCCACTAAGCCGCGCGCGTGCACTCGCTCTTTACAACGCCTCTCTTACCCTGACTAGTGGACTACGGGCAACTACTGCTGTTGCCATTAAACGAAAATTCATTGTAATTATAATAATTTTATTTATTCCTTCACCGCGCAACTTATTGTTTTTGTTATAAAAGTTGTTATTTTTTAGTGTATGTGCATGTGTATTGCCGCGCGCGCGTATACGTGTGTGTCAGTTTGCGCTTACGATTCATACACACGCCGCGCTTGGTGTGGTACGCGCCGCGTTACGGTTTTGCTGTTGTGTCGACTTATTTTGCCTTGTCGCTGACGGTGTTAATGTTAAAAACCAATAAGTGGAAGCTATGGCCTCTTCGTTGTTGGCCCTCAGTGATTTAATACGATTCCAATTGGAGCGCATCAAACTAGATGAATTCACCTACAAGGATGAGTTGCATCTGCTGCGCCAACTGTTGGCGCTCGATATGCCACAACCGATGCACGCGCTACACTCAAACGGCAGCAGTCAAGAGCATAACCAGCCAACGCAAGCGAACGCGGTGCCGCTACCAACATGCACACCGACCACACAAGCGCAAGTGCAAACGCAGTTGCCGGCGCACACGCAGACGCAAACACCTTTGCGCCTGCAAGCGCCACAGCATCACCAACATCAACAGCAGCAGCAGCCGCCACCACAACAACAGTACATACACGCGTTGGGACCATTGCCGCCGCCACCATCATCGTCGTCRCCCGCGTCGCAATACAAGCCAAAGTCATTGCCGCAAAATCACTATCCACCGCCGCCAACACAAAGTCAGAGTCAATGTCAGCTCAGCAGCGCGGCGTACGGTCAATCGTACAATAATAGCCAGCAGCATCAAAACGCGAATCATCACAACAGTCACGGTCACAGTCAGAGCCAACAGAATCTCTATCCACCCAGCTATAGTCCGGTGCAACAAAATCAACTCAACTACACGCAGAGTCAGAAGCAGCGACAAAAGCAACGCCGCTTTCAGCAGCAAAATTCTAAGCGCTCACAACAATATTTGCAACAACAGCAGCAGCAACAACAGCCACAGAATCGCAGCAAATTGCATGTTGGCGCGCCGTCAGATAGTGATGGCGCAGCCACGGCGGATGAGTCGAACAATGCCGCCGCTGGCGCCAACAATCATCATCAACAGCAACAGCAGCAAACGCCGTCACCTGGTGTTGCTGGCGTCTATGTTGGCGCCGCCTGCAATGGCGGTATTGGCGCGCTTGGTAGTAGCGGTGAGCTGGCGGATGAGGAGCTAGTGGGCGCGGTTGGTGGCGGCGCCAACGCGGCAAATGGTGGCATTGGCGGCAGTGAAGATGGCTCCAGTGCCAGCAGCAATGCTGACCTACACAAGGATTTCAAGTGAGTATTTTGTGCGCGCATTGCTCAAAAAGCTCAGCGCAACCCTGTATGTGCGTAAATGTGTATATRTGTGTGTGTTAATATGGAGAAAGCGCTAGAAAAATGGTTTCCCAAAAAAATTAAACGCTGAGCAAAAAAAATTTCGACACTATTGAGTGCCAAATCACGTACAACATTGCAGACAAGGCATAAAGGTACAACAACAACAAGTACAATGCATGCGATGAAGTGGCGGCAAAAGTTGCCGCAGTGTCACGCAAATGCACACAACTTTGTGTATATATACATATATATACATTGTATATATATTACATTGTATATATATTATATATATATACATATACATCTCACACGGAGTTTCCCAGCACAAAAAACACTTCACACATACACCTGCATCTGCAAGTGAAAGTAGCAAAAAATCGTACTTTTTCCATCGTGCAAAATTTGCAATTTGCTTTACCGTTCGCGTGAGTGCCTAAACACACACGCATACATAACCAAACACACACACATATAATATTTTGCACCGCTATGCCTGCTTATCACTTTCTTGCCGATTTTTTCATTTTCCTCATGTTCGATTTATTTTTCTTTTATTGCTTTTCCTATTCTTATTGTTGTTGTTGCGGCAGTTCTGTTCGGCGCCCATTTTCCGTCTGTTGTTTTGGCTTATGACACTAAACGCGCCCACTGATTGCAGGCCGAAAATAAGGTCACGTGTGTCCGATGTGGCACAGTTCAACACTCATACATACATACATATAGCGGGTTATATGCAAGTGCATTGGGGGAAAAAGTGACGTGAGCTCTAACATATAACCTTAAACATTCACAAATGTTGGATGTGTATGTGGAAAATTACGGTAAAAATGACATGCCTGCAGCAATCGTTGAATGACAGTGTTGTCATTTGGTCAAAATTCGGCATAAATATGATTAGAACTGAAAAAAAAGTTAGATACTGCAAAAATGTTCGAAATGTCCATTCGTTTCCGGACCTTTAAGCATATAACGGTTCTACATAAGATAACTGTTCCGAACCTTACGTTGAACAGTTTCTCAAGACCTCGCTGAACCCATAAATCTTCTGTCTGCTTGCATAAAGCCTTATCTCCATTTTTAGGYCGTGTCTCAAAACATTCCTAGAACTTGTTTCCTTTCATCGTTTCCAGGCACTTAATCATATAGCGGTTCCGTAAAAGAAACTTCTAGCCTCAACCTGAAATGAACAGCGGTTAAAGGTTTTGCTAAACCCACAAGCCTTCTATCTACTTGTATGAAGCCGTATCTCCATTTTTAAGGGATGCCGCAAACCGTTTTTAGAACCTGTTTCCTACTTGTTCGAACTAATGAAAGCCAATAGGCTTGAAAAACTTTGTATGACCTCTCCACACGTGATTCATATGAATTGTTCAAGTGAAATGGTGACGACTCAATGCTCTAAAATTCCAACGCGAGAGCCTTTAGCGGGTTAACTGCTCCAAAGTTCAGCATGCCAGATTCGGTGAGTTAAACAGGCTCATATCTATCCCTGGAATCACGAATAATCAAAATTACGGAGACTCTGGTCCGTTGTYATCTCCAGTACTCATAAGTATCGATCAAATCCACCGACGCTAATATTAATTTCAGCTGGTTTATAGAAGGTATATGGCAACGGAGATGCTACGATCTTAGACTGGCGAAAACTGGACAGTGTAAGATAAATTATTTAGAAACTTCCACCTCATCTTTCTAAATGAAATTTTCACAAGGCCAATAGGCAACATTGACGAGGTGCGTCCTACAAAATATTTAGCCTCTCCGCGTGAGTGCCAAAGGACAGAGTCCATTCAAGACACCTATCCTTTCAAATTGCTAAGACCAAGTAGTTCAATAGAACTCTTACGTTCCAGTCTTAACCAGAAAGATTGCACAACAGCACATGTGAGATTGCTGCTAAACTTGCTAAAGCCATGCGAGATTCAACGCAAGAACGGAATTCAATACTCTGTAAAATCCGTTGATTTATTTTAGACTTGTTTAGACATTAGAAAGCATGCATGATAATCCATCAGCTCTCAATATTTCCATTAATAAATGCTTGGAGACACCTCGAAAATCTATTGATTGTTACGTTTCTGAACTTACTTACCTCTGCCATGAAAATATTTCGAAATAACTCTTCAGTTTGCCTAAATAAATGGAGTATCTTTTAAGATACAATACTAAAAATATGAAACAARACCTTTTGTCACAAAACGGGTGTAATTATCAGCCACACAAATTAATCTGAAACAGGCCACCGAGGTTACTTCGACGAAAAAACGGCTTTAAAAGGTATAGGTTGTATATAACCTTAGAAAAGCACCCAGTTCAATGAAAGGGAATGGGGTTTAAACAATATCCGTTCATATTTAGTTATTTTAAGCGTGGAGTAGCTGACTACGACAAGTCAAATGAATAGATTCAGGTTCCCCAATTCACAAGTATTCATTACAATATTATCTGCCGAATGTGGACGATTTCCTCTGCACCTTCGAAAAATTAAATGARGGACTTGGCTGTAATTCCTTTTCTTTCAAGCCTATCCCACAGCTGGTATTTTTATCTTGTTAAAAAATTATATTAGGTTGTCCAAAAAGTCTTGCGGTATTTTCGCTAGTTTGCGCTGAAAGTGCGTAGTTCTACTTTTATTCGTCGCACCGGGTCATGCTATACCTTTTTGGAAAGCTCATTCCACGCGCTAACACGTGTTTGATTGATTGTCGTTTCTTTTAAGTCGTTCTTGAGTTATAGCGTCGCAAATATGGAGCAAAATAAAGAGAAAAACGGCATATTTTACAGTACTACTACGATAAAGGCAAAAATGCATCTCAAGCCGCCAATAAAATTTGTGCAGTTTRTGGACCCGATWSCGTTTCCATTTCCACMGCACAACGATGGTTTCAACGYTTTCGTTCTGGTGTAGAGGTGGTCGAAGACGCGCCACGCTGCGGAAGGCGATAAAATCGCTGAATTGGACGAAAGAGAGTAACAGCCGTAGCATCGGTCAAGAGCTGGGTATGAGTCATCAAACCGTTATAAAATAAAAATAAAAATAATACTAAAAAATACCGCAAGACTTTTTTTGACAACCTATTATAAAAGGCGCTGGTATCCCTGTGTTGTCATCAAAATTTTTTGTTAGAAACAGAAAAAATCTCGACACGACTACGATGAAGGTTATCCAAAATCTGTCTTCATTATTGGCGTAGACATCACTTTCGCGGTTATAGCCGAGTTTATAACATTACAACAATCGGTATTCCCTTTCGTTTAGTATCATTCGGAGATTCCATGTGTAACCAGGTCCTTCTCCACAAATCTTTCTCTGTTCCCCTGGCGATTACTGCATCGATTGCTCACAGAGCTGGAATGTTTTCATTCATTCGGATGACATGACCTAGCTAGAATAGCCGCTGGCTACTATGTATATTGCCATTTTACTTGTATATTGCCACAGGAGAGAACTTTCTTAGTATACTTCAATTTTTATAACCCATTCCCATTCCTTTCCGAGACTTGAACCAATGTTACAACTACTGATGATAAGCACCTTCGTCAATTGAATMAAATTTAAGGGGTTACAGGCGTTCTTCGGGTAAAAACAGACACTTTTCAACAATTTTTTTCTCATATTAAATATCATATCATTAAATATTTTATTAGAATTTTTTATTGTTACAAAGAAATTCTGAAATTTTTGGAAAAAAATATTTCAAACTCGGCCATTGCGATGCTACTTTCGGTGATTCCTCGAAAAAAAGATGCGCCCGCATTGGCAGTATAACTCCTTACAGGATCATCTTACGTGGAAAAATACGTGTTTAGTTAAAACCTTCTTGGATCTCAAAGATCTGCTATAAATTCATGAAGCTCGGATGATTAGTTCTAGAGAAATCGTACCAACCTACTTCAAAACAAACTTTCCAGAAAAACGCGTTTAAATACAACGTACTTCGCCTAGCAAGCTTCGCACATGTTCTCAMGACAGTATCTACGAAACTTTTACTCGGATCAACTTGAACATTTAGGACAGTATTTTAGAGATCTTATAGAATTTAATAAGTCAACAAAAAATTGATTTTTTGACACCCGTAAACCMACGTAACCCCTTAAGATAACCAGCTTTTACGTATAATTATGACCAAGGGTTTTTATCGATATGCTACTTTAAAAGTCTATTACCCYTCCATAAGTGTACAAAAAATCGAGCGTAAAAGCACGCTTTCACTTAATTTGTATAAAGCGACATTATCGAACTAAAAATAAATGCAACTGAATGTGTAAACTGCTCAGAAGGCTTTGTCAAATTGTTACTCCCATTTATTTGATAGGGCTGCAGTCATAGCTAACATGCATTAGACTTTGCGGCGACACTTGACTGTCAGTTGTTGTATAAAGTGATGGTAGAATATGAGATAGCTCTTGGAATATTCGAGAAAAAGATACTGCGAAAATTAGTAAGGGAAATGTGAGCTTGCTGACGACAACAACTCAATGCCATGAAAATAGATGCAGCGGCTGCACTGAATGTATCAAGTTTTTGGAATGTCAATTTAAAAGAGACTGAAGAAAATAAATAAAAACTACAATAACTGTGTGTGTGCACGAGTTGTTGTGAAACTCAGCCAAAAAAAAGCGAAATAAAAAAAAACAAAAAAAATGAGAAAGTTGGTAACAGCTTGCTCTTCGCAGAATGACGCGAGCCAACTTAACAACAAAATACTTGCCACTTAATTATTATATTATTTTTTGCATAATTTTTTCTTGAATATGGAGAGAAAAAATCCATAATTATCTCATTCTAGCTGCACTGTGCGCGTCATGCGGGCATACTGTAGTCTGTGACATGCAAGAGTCTTATTTGTCATATGCACATTCGTATGAGCCTCGCAGGCATAGTTTACAAGACATGCAATCACACAGATGCGCACACAAACATGCATGTATATTCAAACCTAAAGGCTGCTAACTAA